ACTCCCAAGGGGCCCATTTGTCGAATGTCTCCCAAAGAACTCAATGAGCTGCGCAGGCAGCTTGATTAATTGATAGAAAAGGGGTGGATTAAGCCCAACTCCTCACCATATGGCGCACCGTCCTGTTCGTGCCTAAAAAGGAGGGTGAACTGCGCATGTGCATCAACTACAGGGGTTTGAATGCGGTTACGGTGAAAAATGTTGAACCTTTGCCTAAAATCAATGATCTGTTGGATAGTGTGCATGGATGTAAGTATTTTTCCAAGATTGACTTGAAGTCGAACTACCATCAAAAAGAGGTACAGACCGAAGATCAGCACAGGACGACTTTTAGAACTCGCTATGGCCACTACGAATTTGTGGTCATGCCATTTGGTCTGACGAATGCACCTGCTTCCTTCCAAAGATGTATTGACTGATCTCCTTCGTGAATGGCTAGATAAATTCGTAGTTGTTTATTTAGACGATATTCTGATATTTAGTAAGACTCTAGAGGAGCACCAGCAGCATCACTGCGAAGTTCAAGGTGAATCCGAAGAAGTGTATGTAGGCCACGTGTTAGATGGAGATCGAGTCAAGACCGGACGACCCAAAGATAGCAGCAATCAGGGATTTCCCACACCGCACACATTGATCGAACTGAGATCGTTCTTAGGATTAGCCAATTACTATCGAAAGTTCGCACGAAACTTCACAATGATCGTTGCACCACTGTGTAAACTGCTGAGGAAGGAGTGTTTCGAATTGGGACAAAGATTGTACCTGAGCCTTCAAGAAATATTGAAGAAGTCATTGATTGAGTACCCAGTTGAAAGTTGCAGACCCATCACTTTCGTTTATTGTCATGACTGACACAAGCCAATATGGAATTGGCACCGAACTCCAGCAGAACGATGGAGAGGGGTAACGGCCCGTCGAGTTCATGTCTTGTAGGTTGCCTAGTGAGAAGGTCGCTGCGTTGACATATGAATGCGAGCTATTCGCCTTGAGGGAGGCACTGAATCACTATCTCCTAGGAAGGCACTTTAAAGTCTATTCTGACCACGAGATCCTACGCTGGTTGAAAACCCAAGCCCGGATGACCCCTAAGTTGACTAGATGGGCCGGCGAGGTAGATCAGTTCGACTTCGAGCTGGAATCAGTCGAGGGCAAATACAACGTTGTTGCAGACGCGTTGAGTAAACGTGCAGATTTCTTCGGTGCCATTGTCACTTACCTAGATGCAGGCACCGAGCTACAGCAGCAGATCAAGGCTGCGTACACTGACGATCCCGTTTACAGCAAGCTAATCAAAAGGGTGCAGACTGCGCCACACGAAGTCCCGGACTACAGACGAACCAACAGACTGTTGTTCGAAAAAACAGACAGGTTCGACAGACTGTGCATCCCAAACAACGAGACAGTCAAAAGTATGATCCTGGGAGAGTGCCACGCCACTGAGGGCCATTTTGGTTGGAGAAAAACCTATGCTTATCTCCTCCTGTCCTACACCTGGGTCGGCATGACGCACGACTGCGTTACCTATATCCAGGGCTGTCAAGTATGTCAACGAAACAAAAGTTCCACGCAGACCCCACTTGGCCTGTTGAGACCGCTACCTGTCCCGTCCAGTCTGGGTGAATCCGTGTTGATCAACTCTATGGACAAAAGTCAAAAGTAGGAACGGGAAGAGTCGAGTGATGGTAGTTGTAGATAGATTTAGTAAATTTGCTGTTTTATTCCGTTGCCCGCTGAGGCGAAGACAAAGTTAGGGATTAGACTCATTAGAGAATTCTTCAATCACTGGGTTAAGGATTACGGACACCCATTAACGACTGTTAGTCATAGAGATAGCAGATTCGCGGGCGAGCACTGGCAACAGTTGATGAAAAAATACGGATCAAAGCTGACCATGTGTTCCGGTAGACACCCGGAGACCAATGGCCAGACCAAGCAGATGAGCAAACTGCTCCAGCAAGTGCTACGCATGTACATTAGGCCCGACCAGATCAATTGGGGCGAACGTCTTCCCAAAGTGCCGTCTGCAAACAACAACTCGGTGCACTTGTCCACTGCCCGCACCCCTAAGGAACTGCACAGGGGTTGGCAACCCTGACGTCCGATTGACTGCTTGAATCCAGGTCAGATTCAAAGATTGCCAGCCGGTACAAAGGAGTTCGCCATTCAATACGAAAAGGATCTAGAAAAAGGAACATCCTTAAGGCCCAGCACCAGCTGGTAGAACAAGATAACAAACATTGACGACCATCACAGTTTGCAGTAGGTGACATGGTATGGGTTAAGCCTGAGTGAGTTCGTTCCTGAAGAAGGGATCTCGCAGAAACTGCTACCTGCATATAGACCATGGCAAGTCTTAGATGTCAAAGGAGAGGCAGATGGTTCGTCCTACACTATCGAGATTCCGCCCCACCTGCACGCATACCCAGTATTCCACGCATCTAAGTTGCTTCCCTGTGGTACAAACGATCAGTTTCCCTCTTGATGTTCCATGATTCCACCTGATATGGACGGAGGTTATGACGTAGACCAAATAGTTGCTGAATTTACTTTCCGTACAGGTCGTCGAGGGAGACGGCAAAGGCAATACAAAGTTAGATCCGCCTATCAGGAACCCAGCAAAGACCGCTGGTCCTCCAGGGAGGAACTAATACAAACAGCCCCTCGCATTGTCTCCTATTATGAGAGGGCTAGACGGGGGGTGAATGTGCATGATCGATAAAGATATGAATTTTCTCGGAGGACCTCGAAATTAGGCTGGCGGGAGTGAAAGGATTCACGCTGCAGACACCCAGTCCCGGTCCCAGGGTCCCGACAAGTCCCAAGTCCCAGGGCTGTCCGGTAGGGTAGGCCATAGGGGCTAGAGGCCAAAGTGTCGTAGGTCGGTAGGTGTCGGTACNAAGTCCCAGGGCTGTCCGGTAGGGTAGGCCATAGGGGCTAGAGGCCAAAGTGTCGTAGGTCGGTAGGTGTCGGTACCGAAGTGTCGTAGATCAGCAGGAGTCCGTACGGTACACGACAAAAAAAGTCCAGAAGCGTCCAGTCCAGTCCGGCAGTCCCAAGTCCAATTTTGCAGCATGTCACAGGAAAGTCCGGAAGCTACCGGACCGACAAAATGTTTGCAGCAGACAAGCCACTGCCGACCAGTACCTGTCTGAAGCAGGCCAAACGAAGCCCAGCGAAGCCAAGTCCTATATTTAGCTGCTACAGTGCAGCGGCTCATCAGTTGTTCAGTTGTGAGATGCGGAAGCGCTGCTGCTGCTTGTGCGTTAAGGCAACTTCGGCACTGGGCGCCTGAAGAAGGAGAGGGCGCCTGCGAGATACTCCATAGCTAGGCTCGACAGGAGGGCGGCGGCCATAGCCACCAAGGTGTAAGCTGCCTGAGTGGGTGTATCCATGGTAACGATCGACGGACGAGAGAGAGAGAGACGAGAGAGAGAGAGGCAGAGTGAGTCAAGTCAGAGAGAGAGAAGAGGGGAGAAGCCATTGCCGCTATCTGGTTGAGATCCGTAGCGTGTGTGTGCGGCAGAGCCGCTGGAGACTAACATTCTCGTATCTCTATAATAATATTGGAGACAACAAGTGTGGGATAACTAGGGAGGGTTTCGACAGGGATTTCATGGGTCTTGGGGCATTAGTAGGACCTCTGCAGTCTCTTCTCATGTAAGTTTTCTCAGAGGGATTCCAGCCAAAGCCGGGTGATGGCCCTGGTACTGCAAGAAAGGGATTGAGGGGAGTGAAGGAAAGATACCACGCATCCTGCTAGTGAAGGGGCTAGCTGGTAGGATGGAAATAGGGCATAGCAGCAGCAGAGATGGTGGCTTTGCTGCAGTAAGTCTTGCCGGAGTGAGGTAAAGAGGACTGATGGCGGGTCTCAAAAAGTGGTGGTTTCAGCTCTGATCTTGTTTTCCCAATTTTTCTTTTCTTTTCTTAATTCCTGAACTCTTCTTGAATTTCTCAGACAAGGGGTGAGTGGGATAAGTAGATGGTTGGATATCAAGCGTCCTATGAGTGACGGGGTTAGCTCGTAGGATGGAAAGAGGGTACAGCAGCAGTGGAGATGGTGGCTCCGCTGTAGTAAGTCTTGCCGGAGGGAGGTAAAGAGGATTGAAGGGGGGGTTCTGAGTTGTTTCTGAAGTATTGCCTAATTCTGTATAAAAACGGTAATGACATAAGAAGACATAAGAAGAGAATAAGGAGAGTGGGAGAAGATGGTGGGTTACCACGCGTCCTTACCAGTGAGGGGCCTAGCTGGTAGGATGGGAGTATGGTATAGCAGCAGCAGAGATGGTGGCTCCGCTGCAGTCAGTCTTGCCGGAGGGAGGTAAAAGTGGATTGATGGGGGTTCTTCTGAGTCGTCTCTGAATAATGAAGTTGTCATAGTCATTCTCTGAGCCAAAGCCGGGTAATGGTTCCGGTATCTCGATTTCTTTCTTAGGCAAGTAGGTCCCCAGTCTCATTTTCAGGAATTTCTTGACAAGTCTTCTGAATGTACTCGTTATGGGACGCTGGCCCCGGTTCCCAGTTCGTGCCACTTTGTGAGGATATGGTTGTATCTATGGGACGCTGGACCCGGCTTCCAGCAGGTGTTGCTCCCCACCAATAGATGGAGCTTTAAAATAAAATAAAATAAAATTGGAGACAACATCTTCAAGTGTTAATTGTATCTCGATTTGGCTTCACACGTGTGAACTGAATGTTCATTGATGTATGCGATGTTGAACTTGACGAGTACTTGGCTCATTTCAGGATTTAGATGCCTTGGTCTCTGTGTGGACGAGTGGGCACATTACCTCCCTCCCTCCCTCCCTCCCTCTGAATGCTGTTGATGATGATGCAGGCACAGCGGCGGAAAACACTTCAGATGCCTCGTGTCTCTTCTTCTTCTCCTTATTCTTTTTTTTTTCTTTCTTTTTTTTTCTTTTTTTTTTCTTTTCTTTTTTGGATGCAGTCTTTGCGTTGGTAAGTGGGTATATTCCGTCGCTGTCCTTTTGGTGGTGATGCAGGAAGCTGTGGAGAGGACCTTGGATGCGTTAGTCGCTGCATTGACAAGTGGATATATTTCCTCCCTTAGCGACAATGTGGCTGCTCCGAGTCCGAGTCCAAGCTCGAGCTCCTCCTCGTCCTCGTCCTCCTCCTCCTCCTCCTCCTCCTCCTCCTCCTCCTCCTCGTCGACGCCGTCGTTCTCCCCATGTCTCAGTTCACCATCACCTCTGTCGGTGACATGGATCCGATCTGCCAGCTTTGCCGAGAGCATGCTGCGCCCCAGCTCTCTACAGGACCCCATTCACATTCTATATTTGGGGCATGCACTCTACAAGGAGCAGGGAAGAGTGAAAGAAGCGACAGAGATGCTAAAGCGCCACACAAGGGCCATGCTGATCAGCGTTCGAAGTGGTACTATTCCCGCCGGTGAAGAAAATCCAATCAGCAGCTATGTGTTCAAGAAGCGGTCTGCCGAGGGAAGCACCATAGATGCTGCCCAAGGAGGAGGTGTCAGCGTCACCACGTGCCATAGCTGCACTGACGACATTTGTGTCCCCACTGCAGTAAGTGGTCCAAAGTGTGGCGGCAGCGCCGGAAGCAATAGTAGCCATCATAGCTCAAGCACACCGCAGGGCGGAAGAGGTCTTTCCTTGAAGGAGATGGATAACATGAGAGTTTCGCTGTCGGAACTGGCGGCCAATGCTGCCGAGCAAGCCTTAAGTGCTGCTGAGCAAGCTATGAGCGCTGCAGAGTCGCTCGGTGAGTACCTCACGAGAATGATGCCCTCTGTGCAAGGCCATTCTTCTTCTTCAACGACATCGTAGATAAAGCACACCGCAGGGCGGAAGTGGTCTTTCCTTCCAGGAGATGGATAAACATGAGAGTTTCGCTGTTGGAATTGGCGGAGAATGCTGCCAAGCAAGCCTTAAGTGCTGCTGAGCAAGCAGCAAGCCTTAAGTGTCGCAGAGCAAGCTATGAGTGCCGCAGAGTCCCTCGGTGAGTACCTCACGAGAATGATGCTCTCTGTGCAAGGCCATTCTCTTCAACGACATCGTAGATCAAGCACACTGCAGGGCGGAAGAGGTCTTTCCTTGCAGAAGATGGATGAACATGAGAGTTTCGCTGTTGGAACTGGCTTGATTGGTGGGCATGAGCACAGGGTTTCAGGACTAGGCCGCACCATGCTATGTCCGTGCTATGTGTGTGCTATATCCACGCTATGTGCATCCTATGTCCATGCTCTCTGTGTGCTATGTGCGTGCTCTGTGTCTTCTATGACGCGCTACGTCTATGCTATGTCTGTACTATGTACGTGCTAGGTACTAGCTATGTATGTGCTATGTACGTGCTATATATGTGCTATGTACGTGCTTTGTACGTGCTATGAAAGCATGAATCTAAGATAGAACAAACTGTCTAGCGCCGACTTTAGCCCAAACAGGTTCAGTTGGGACTCTTGGCTTTCGGTCGTAGTTTTCTCTTTTTAGCCCAAGGTATCTGTATACAGCAGAAATTCACTGCAGAATCCATGCCTCCCTCCCTACCTCCTCTTCTCCCCACTTGATTTTTTTCCCTAATTGTCAAAGGGAATTGGCAGTGTTTCCTTATTGGGATAGGGGAGTGAGAAGGGGGTTTCACCGCTGTACCCACGTACTTACTCCCTGTAAGTCGACAGATTCAAGTTCCAATTTTTAACCATCGGTACCGCTTGTAAATGAACTCGTCTTTTCATCATACCTCTCTCGTCGTGCTCCTTACTTGTCTGTTCACTGCAGGGGACAAGTTTTTAACCCCAGGTGATACAGCGAGATCCAGTCGAATATGACTTTTTACCCGTAGTGATTTACTATTTAGGATCATCATTTAGCTAAATATGATGCGGGCCCTGTTTCTTGGGTGTCTAATAAATTAGATAGACTGAAAAGCGAAGGAGCGAAAAGCGAAGGAGCGAAAAGCGAAGGAGTATGTGTGATCTCAAAAGCATCCTTAATATTCCTTATCACTTAGTCGATGATTTGATAGTAAATTGATACTCTTTTGTAAATGAACCTGCCTTTATTCCATAGTAGAATTCATTCCTCGCTGGCTCTGGGTTTTCTTTTTGTCAATCGGCTGTGCAATAAGGGATTGCCTCTGTTTCTTAATGAAAAGGGGGGGGGGGGGGGCGGTTAAGGGGGCCTCCCAAACACCACCTGATTGGTTGCTAGAAGGCCAAATAAAAGACTTCGCAACACTCTCGTTTGTTGAGGTAGTGGTGCTCGTATGTGGCTGGCAATGTGTGTCTGCTGGCGATTAGAAGAAGGTACTGGGATCCGGTGGCGTACGGCCTCCTCGCTACACCCCTCGCCAAATGTGAAAAAGGCGGGAAAAAATGGCACGTGTATCCGTTCGACTCCTAGAAGAAGATACACTTGCCAAAATCGCCAATTTAATTTTCACGTCTGTTGAGTACGGCAGCAAGGCCCGTATTTGGGGTCGTCGTTTGAAAGCATCGTGTACATCAGGACACAATGCCGTCGGCCCCGGAGGCTGAAGCTTCTCTCCATGCACTCGAGAAAGATGGTAATGAAGCAGAGGATATTGGGATCCAGACGCATTCAGCATGTGCCGTATCTCACTGCTTGATAGGATTCTGTTCTTTGGGGGTGGGGTGGGGAGGGGAGCGAGCGCGCGCGCGCGCGCGCGCGCGCGAGAGAGAGAGAGAGAGAGAGAGAGAGAGAGAGAGAGAGAGAGAGAGAGAGAGAGANGCGCGCGCGCGCGCGCGCGCGCGCGAGAGAGAGAGAGAGAGAGAGAGAGAGAGAGAGAGAGAGAGAGAGAGAGAGAGAGAGAGAGAGAGAGGCGGTTTCAGTGTGAGGCTGGAAAGCTTCCCTTGCAGCTGAGACAGGTGATGACATACAGGAAAAGGAATATGCCCATGACACAGGAGAGAGTACCTATATCTGCTGATGGCATGCAGGGGGCAGGCAGCAGGAAAGCAAGCGGCAATTCGACTTTCTAATTCGAGGGTGCCTACCTCATAGGGCAGCTTTGCTTTGGATGGGTGTCTGAGTGGTTGAAGGTCATTTCTGGATGGGGTCTCCTTCAGGTGTGAAAAAGGACTCGCCTTGTACAGTGCTTTCGACTTTCGACTGTCGACATCGGGAAGTAGTTGGTTCAATTACAAAATTCCTTTGTTGAGTTCATGGCTACATACGGATTGTGATGACCCCCCCCCCCCCCCCCCTCCCAATTGCCCCTCCACACTGGCCCCAAGCAAAGGCCTCCAAGCCTAGCGGCTCTCCCAGGCAGGAGAGTGCATTCAAAGCCATCCATCTAGCTCTCAATGCCCCTCGACCACAAACGAACTTCTACGACTGTTCTTGCAAATGGAGCAGCAAACGGAGCAGCAACGCCATGTGCCAGTGAAGACGGAGGAAGATGAGACAGGTGGATACTCACTCGTATTCAAGGAAGATTTATACTCGTATTCAAGGAAGATTCTTGGGAGAGGGAGGGACATGTTCTCTGCTTGGCTTCAGGGAGAGGGAGGGACAGGTTCTCTGCTTTGAGTTCCATCGTTTTTCTCAATTTCCGTTAAGTTCTAAACGACTGAATGATACCGTTGACACGCACGCATAAATCGAGAAATGGTCCAATTTGGCAATTTGTCTTTTTGTTCAAGGACTGAATCAGATGGCAGGGCAATGGTGTTGGTGTTGCAAATGGTCTTGCCGAGGAGGATTGGCTCAAAGGACTGGAGGCATTGAATCCGAGAGGACTGCGACAAAATATGCACATTACTCTCTATTTCTCTTTGAGAAGACATCGGTGGGTTTGGGAGAGGGAGGAGGAGCTCTCTCTGCTTGGCTTTGTGGTGGGATTTCGACGTGTTGTTGCTTTTTAATGGCGGAAGAGTCTATACGGCGGACCGAGATTGACGAGGATCTTGTAAATGCCTTGTCAATTTCCGATCGGCAACGTTGATGACAAAATTGGGGAAGATCTGTAGTGTCATAGTAGGCTGTCCCCATGGTTGGGCCCATATGGTTCTGGTCCTTCGGGCGCGGGCTAGCTAACAAAATGGATTTGAGCTCATGGTCGGGAGGGAGTCATCATTAGGAGAGAGAGAGAGAGAAGGGTGTTGCACTTCACTTGGCACCCCTATGGCGAGAACGTTCTGTTCGCTCGTAGCATGCAGAGAAACAAGGGGGACAATATATCTGTAGCCCGGACGACAGTTTTCTCAGCTCGCGATTTGGCACACAGTTGTGGTGCTCGAAGCGTTCTGCAGTCGTTTCGTCATGTGGCAAGTACAAAGCCGGTGAGGACAGGAAAGTAGGTAAGTATGGGGGTACGCTGGTCAAGCGGAGAGAATATATATCCGTTGTGTAAACGACAGTTTTCTCAGCTTGGTACCGTCTTCACCCGAATAGAACACCCGGTCCCGGTCATTATCACTGCATCTAGACTGAAAGTCCCACCAAATACAGCTATAATGACCGGGCCTTCTATTCGGGTGAAGACGGTAGTTGGCAAGCGGTTGTGGTGTTGAAGCGCTCTGCAGCTGTTTCGTCGTGGCGAGTACAAAGCCAGTGAGGAGGGGAAAGTAAGTATCGGGGCAAGCTGGTCGGCGCGTCCCCGATGTTATGTGTACGTATTTGCTTGGCCACATTTGTGACGTTTCGTCGTTCGACATGTACAGTCACAACAAGCAAGCGGTTTCTGCCACGTGCTGAGCGGGCGAGTCAGTGGAGGAGGAGGTAATCTTGGCATGTGTACAGAGTCTGCAGGCTATTTGATAACCGTCTGTGCCCTCCTCATTCTGCGCCGGGGAGGGACTCAGACCGTTCCCTCTGTCGCGATTATATCTCTAGAGTGCGGCGATACGCTTTCAGCTGCAGCTGCCACATGTACAGAGAGCGCACTACCGACTGGTCAGTGGTAAGCGATATCCACCTGCACCTGGACCTGAGATTTCATTTCATTGTATTTTTTTAATCATAATACGATCATGTGAGAAGCTTTCAGCTCGACCGCGGAATCGCTGTGTGCCGCCTCCGTGTGCGTTGTCGGAGGCTGCGGCCACCATATTTATAGGTTGAATCTTTTTTGACATCCCCATTGTGTCGTCGGGCTCAATCATTGCTAGCCTATACAGCGCAGAACTCCCCCTTTTTTTCTTTTTTTTTTTCCTCCTTTTTTCCACAGGCCGGCACTTCTCTTTGAAGTCAAGCAGAAGATTGTAACAGTTCCTTTCTTTTTTATTTTTTTATTTTTTCTTTTTTGGGGAAGGTTGTGACAGTTTCTGTTTACCAGGGGCAAGGTCCCACTAGCAAATAAAATTTAATAAATAATAAATATACTTAGAAAAATAGAGTATCAAGGACTATCAACTTACTATCATGTACTATTAACAATTAAAACTATTAAATTGAATTAATTAACAATAATTCATAAGAAATGTGTACACTCTTATACCAAGTTATATGTGATCTAATAAAAAATAATCGATCTGGAACGGAATCACCTATAAGCAAGCGGAAAAGGAAAAAAAAAAAAGAAAAAAAAAAACGGTGGATCTAGACTCTAGTACGACAGCTATTTTTGAAAACGTATGTACTATGTTCTTATCAATCCGACTGAGGGCATACTCAGACTACGACTTTTTCCACTCAGCTCTGGACACAATTGCGGTCAGATGCATCAAGGTCTGGCCCATAATTACGGTCAGATACATTGAATGTCAGCTATTTTTTTAACACGTATGTACTATGTTCTTATCAATCCAACCGAGGGTGTACTCAGACTAGGACTTTTTCCACTTAGCTCTGGACAGGATTGCGGTCAGATGCATCCAGTTCTGGCCATAATTACTGTCAGATACATTTAGAAACAAAATGCTAGCTCGAGT